AGAGAGAGAGAGAGAGAGAGAGAGAGCTATTTATATTTATTTTGTACCTGTCCCTTAGGAAACAACACTTTTATTTTTGTATTACATTTCATTCATTCAATCATTTATTTTAACACCAAAAAAATGTCAGTAAAGAAAGAGTGAGAAAAATAAAAAGGTTTTTGTTTAAAACTAAATTAAGATACATGTAAATGAATGCGTACTTTGTAACGTGGTTATTAGTACAGTACCTGGTAATTAATATACTCATTGTATATATAAAATAGTATAGTCAACCCATTGTTACCAAAACAATATACTACTTTCTATAAAGTTAAAGTTTTTAATAGAAATGAAAGTACATTTAATGCAAATGTACTGTAATTTTATGTTCTCGTGCACTATAATTAGCATCTAGTTATTTAATAATTGAACAATCTTATATTTTTAAGGGATATGAGTCACATGGAGTTGTTGTGGGCCATAAGAATTGTATAGCAAACATGTTTTACAATGTGTTAATTCTGTTTGCATTTTTGTCACAACAGTTTGTTATTTGTATAGCAATGGAAGTAATAAAATATAACAATTGTTCGACCATGGGCATGGACAAAAATTATATAGTTAACAATTTAGAGGTTATGTATACAAATATGTTATGCTCGGCATGTTGGGTTAAATGGATAATACATTTATTATTGAATACTAATAGTACTTTTAGTACTCTATTTCCTATTTATTATCCAATTTCTTAAATTACATTTCACTGCGAGAGTGAGTGAGAGAGTACTCTAACGGTAAGTATTTGTGATACAAAATATTTTGTGATTTAACTTATCATGATTTTGTTTTCAAATATTTTAGGTATGTATTTTTGGTGAGAAATTGACCAAAATGCAAAGACTTTCTCTCTCTCTCTCACTCACTCACTCACTTACTATTCAAATATAAATAAACATAACAAGTAATAACCCCTACAATAAAAACCACTATTGCATTCACTTTTGTAGGTCAGCAAACAGTTCGTATAAATAATATAATTAAATCTGTACACTATATATGCATATACACTATACAGTACAGTATATATACAGGTAAGATTCGCATATATGTATAGTAAACCATAAACATATCTAAATATTACAGAATATGTCTGTAATCACACAAAATACTTATAAAACTAATGTTATGTTTGGTTTGCTTTCATCACTCATTCATTCACTGAATAAATCCAAACCACAAAAAAGTCACTCAACAAAAAACGCTATATCTTTTCAGTCGGTGTTTGTTGTGTGAAACCAAAAAACATTATGGTATTAAAAAAACACTATTCATTCACTTAATACACACACCAGTGAGTGAATGAATGTCTCCGTTCCTATTGAGACACATATATATTTTCTATGATAATATATTTTCACCATAAGTTATATTATAGTTTAAGTATAACTGCATATATGCTGTATATCTGTGTGTTGTGTGGGTTATATATACTGTGGAAAAAACTATCTACAAAAAAATTATAAGTTATATAACTCTACAGCACTTACCAGTCGTACACTATACAGACATTAGACTACTGTGCAGTTTTATCTAGTGCTAAATCATACGGTGTGTGTATGTTATATATTTGTGGTGTACATTATGTGGTATACATTATCACTGTATGTGATTTATTATGTGCTGTTAATTAACGTGTTAAATGGATGTAACAATGAATTTTTGTTAATACAATAAAATCTGTATTAATATGTTTTTAATTGAACTAAATTTTTAATTTATTTATTTTATTTATTAATACAATAGTGTGTTATTAGGTCTACTAAAACGGATAATAAAATGTTTATTAGAAGCCAATAAAAGTTTTAAACAATTTTATTTCAAGTTTAAAACAACTAAAATAAAAGTTTTGCCAATTATATGTAAAGTTTAAATTATTGATTAAAATCTAGTGTTAATTTTTGAAACTTATAAGTGCTTGTATTGTAATATATTTTTGAATTTAAATTTTGTTGTAAAGTTATGTATTATAAGAATTACTGCAATTATAATAATAATAATAAATATTTATTTATTTATTCATCGATTGGTAAGTGTTTTAAATATTTTAAATTTCATTTTTCAAAATATTCTCTACCATTGGATTCAATGATCTGTAAAACAAAATGATATTTTTATATTAGATATAAAATATGGATTTGATAACAAAATTCTGTAATCATGACATTAGGACCAAAGTATACCTAAATATTTAAACATTAGACAATTATAAAGTTATATAATTTTATTTTTATTTGACAACAAATATCTAAATTAAACTTTGCTATTAAAAAATTACATTTTACATAAGTTAACATTAATTAACATTAATAAATTTTTAGAAAGTGAGCATGCATTAAATTTAGTGTAATTTTGCGTAATATCATGTAATATGATGTATTGTTGCCAATTGGCATTAAGCTTAATATTTATCTAAAATATGTTTTAATCTCGATATTAAAGTAAATACAAATACAATAGTTTTAATTATTGGTTAGATTAAAGTCTTTACACTTATAACATATATTTTTATATTAATTTTAAGTTAAATAGTTTGGGAAAAGTTTAAAGTTCTTTAAGTACCTAATCATAAGACAACATTTTTCCTAATATTTAGTATATAATAGTAAATAATTACTTTCAGTAAATAATTTAAAAAAACATGTGATAAATTATAACTTTATGAGTTATATAATGAACAAATTATAATCTTAATGTCATAATCTCTCTCTCTCTCTCTCTCTCTCTCTCTCTCTCTCTC